ATGATTAAGATAATTGAAGCAATGTATGATTTAGCTAATGAAGAAGATCGTAGTGGTGATAAATCACCAGATAAACGTGTTGATCTTATTCTTCAACGTTTAAGCAAAGATAAATCTGGTTCGATTGTCTATTCTATATCTATATCTATTTTTCTATTCTTTAAATAGATGTTGTTCTTCGTAATGAATTTGTTCAAGGTTGTCTTCGAGATGAATTTTTACGTAAAATTCTTGCACCAAATACGGCACTTCTACCAGGTGGACAGATCTCGAACACAACAACTACAACAAATGCCTCATTAAATACAACGACATCATTTAATGAAACGGGTGCAGCCGTTTAAAAATGAACAGTTTATGAACAGTTTTCTTTTCATTTTCTTTTTCACATTTCGTTCTTTTTTACTACACAATGTATATTGTTTGTCTCAGACATGGTGCTCTTTTTTTCTCTTATTTGCAAATAATAGATAAGAAAAGATAAATTGAAAAAAAAACAATTCTCTATTCAAATTACATACTTTAGTCAATTGAGCAATCTTTTTTGCCATTTTAACATGCATTTCTTGTGTGAGTGTAGTTTCTTCATCAATACTTGGATTTACTGTTGATGATGATGGTTGCTGTTGCTGCTGTTGAAAGAAAGTATTTGAAGATGTATTTGATGTATGGTGATTTTTTGTAAACATTTTTGTACTAGCCATGAGTTAATTTATCTAGAAAAAAAAGAAAACGTTGACAGATAAACACATGATTTATAAAAAAAATCGATCGATTGATAGAAGCCATTTTACGGGTCGTTTCCATATGTTGTTGCGTAGTTTTAGCAGGTTATGAAATTATTCATAAATTAATAACAAAAATTCATATATTCAATGAATAGAAATATTTTTTCAATGAAATAAATGAAGAATATTTTAACGATTTAATTCATAATTATTCTGAACAATTGACTATGTGCGACATCTAACAGGTGAATGATATATATAGGTAAGATATCAGCGTTAAACGATGGTGATTGAAATCTGTAAGAGATGATGATATAAACTATAAAATTGAGACATTAAAGATGCATCATTAATTTGTTAATGTTTATTTTTAAAATAAGATTGTTGAGATTTTGTCAAGTGAAACTATGTGTACTTCAAAACTTATTCATATTGCTTCATTATTTATAATCATTTTCAGACTGTTTATACTATTCATAAAAGAGTATGAAATACTTACGTGTGACGATTACTTAAACGATGTTATTTCTTATTACATCAAACTTTATATACACACGTAGTTTTATTTTAATGAATTCATTAAAATTTTTATATTTTCATTATTTATTCTGTAGTCATTTCACTTATAAAAATATGTGTTTTATGTTTCAACATTGAAAAATTAATTCAAAGCTTTTTTTTTGTTCTTATTTTTTTTCTAAACAAAATAAATTCATACGTTGTGTATTTTATTTTTACATTTCGCACAACTTTTTTATCTTTTAAACATGTCTGAAAAATGTTCGATTGCAACATGTGAACGTTTACAACATGCATTATGTCATGGATGTAAACTAAATTTTTGTCGTGAACATATGTTTGAACATTCGTTAGCAACACATTTACAATTAAATCCATTAATTGATCAAACTAATCAACTGCAAGATGTTTTAAAAGGTTTAAATCATACAATGGCAATTGAACCAGCTTTTAAACAATTAGAATTATGGCGTCAGAAAGCTCATCAAACAGTAGATCTATATTATGGAGCAAAATTGCAAGAATTAGAACTATATGTAATTAATAAAATTAAAGAACAGGAACAGGAATTAATTGCTATTCAAGCAAGAATTACAACATCTTCACGTGAACAAGATACAACACATGAACTCATAGATATATTAACACTTAGAATAGAAAGTTTACGAAGAGATATAAATAAAGTTTTACAATCTGATTTTCCAGTTCAAATTAATCCTTTAACTATTGATAAAAATGTAATTAATATCGAACCATTATTTGATATATCAAAACTTCCAACTGTATATAGAATACTTAATCGTCATCATCAAAGTTTTACATCAATAGCAGCTAATGATAAACTTTTATTATTACATCATCAAGGTACATTACTTTTTGTCGATGAATCATTATCAACATTTAAACAAATTCAATGGACATATGGACCTATTTATGATATGTGTTATTCAATTGTATTACAACAATTTATAATCATAAATGAACATGAAGTATTTCTTTTAAATAAAGATAATATGAGTATCACTAAAGTTAGTTCTATTCCATATCAACAATGGTTTTCATGTACATGTTCAAATACTTCATTATATTTATCAACACAAGTTTATAGTTCATCAATTATGGAATTTAATTTATTAGATTCAATGGCATTTGTTAAAAAATGGACATCACCTGATACATGTGTAAAAAATGAAGCAATTGATGGTATGTTTTATAATAATGATAAACTTGCTTTAATGATTAGTAGTGATGTTCAAAAATCTGTGCGCATAGAATTACGTGTAGCATCATCACTTAAGGTTGTTTGGTCACTTCAACTTGATCTTATCTATGATGAAAGTCAAGCTTATCGATTTTGTTTGATTAATAATGATGAATGGCTTGTATCTGATCATACTGGTTCACGTCTTTTACATATATCGAATGATGGAAAAATCAAATCAATTGTTGCATATCAACCGGCTCCATGTTGTGCAGTTAAATTTACACCTAATATGTTGGCTGTATCAACAAAATCAGTTATTCAATTACATAAATTTTTATAAAAGTAAGTTAATTTTACGAAAATATTGTATATAAAATTTTCCTTTGTTATTATTATAGGAGCAAATAATCTCGTAGTAAAATTCAAATAAAAAATATGCTAATAAAGTATAATATTTCTATCCAAAGTTTCAATATATATATATATAATAAGAACAAATTGTAAAAAGAAAAGAAGTATTTCATAGTTTCGCATTGAAATTTAATAAATTACTTTTTTTTATACAGATCATATTTATTTAATCATTATCATAAGTTCAAAAGAATGTTTTCTGATTGAAATTTGTTGGTATTCAATTTAATTATTATCTAATGTTTAACAATCTTTTATTTAGTTGTTGCTAGAAATCCAATAAAGGATGATAATATGTTTTTTTGAATATTTACCAAGACTATAGAAGCAATTAAACCTACAATTCTTCATACAATATCTATGTGAGATAATAATTCGATAAAAGTTTTCTATTAAAAAATAAGTTAATTTGGATAATGTTTTTGATTCTATGATAAAAAAGAAGTTTTCGAACAATCGTATTAGTACAGATGTGTGGGATGACCTGTTCGATTTTTTAAAGTCATTGTAAATAACTAAAATAATAGGTGCATATGTCGAAATAATTTTAGGGCGTTCGTTATATGTAATATGGGACCAGTCATAAAGGACGTTCACGCGTATCACATTCGTTTAAAGTTACTCGATCTCGAATTTAGATACTTTCAGTTTATCAACACGTTCGTGTGAAAGAACGGGTGAATAGTATTATTGGCCAGTGACAGATTCAAACCCTGTCTCAATTTTTGTTTCGATTTTTTCCAGCAAAAGTGGGCTCGAAAGTCCGTAGTTAATATATCAATTAGAATAAAAATGTGGGTTTTGATCGAAATCGACTCCATCATAAAAACTGTAGATCCGCCACTGATTTGGGCATAGGCCTTTGTGTCCTTGTCCATGCGCCTATTCTATACGTCTTTTATCGATATCGTAAGTCGTTCATTGATGTATACATCAACGTCCAACCCATCGCTCGTATTAAAATTCTACTGTGGTCCACCCTTTACTTGTATCTACATCCAACAGTTCATTTAAATCAATTGTCGTTACTTTTGTCTCAAAAATATTGTGTCGCGAGGTTTTCCTTCTTATTAAAAATCGTCAAATACAATCATCTCTGATTTTTCAGAGATCCTTTATGAATGATTTCTATTTCTTTCAGTCAGTTGTTTTTCTTTTATTTCGAAATTAAATTTTGAAGGACGTCACTTTGCCAAACATTAATAAAGTGTATTATGCGTGATTTTTTTTCTTCTGCATTTTATTCGAATTTAAAAAAGTTACTTGAAAATATTTTTTCATGACGCATTTATTTTTAGAAAAAAAAAGGGGAAATAAGAAAAATATACATTTACTGATTATTCTGTGAAGTTAACCTTAGTCGATTGACATTTTCTATAATTATGACAAGCATTGATAGACAATAACCTAGAAAACAAGTCTATTTTTTTCCTATTGAGAATATGGCTTCAACGGTAAAATATTACTAAATGTTATTAAATAACCTTTTTTTTTGTACTGATAATACTGAAGAATCTATTGTTCAATCAACTGAATACTTCTATCATGAAAGAAAGTCTGATAAAATATTCTATTTTGATCGAAGATCTAAAACTAAAAGACCCATTGCTATTAATGAACTCATTACAAATGTTCTTAAAATACAAATATGTAGATTATGAATTAATGTCACATTTGTTATGAAGAAAAGGAATTTTTTGTGTATCTAGCTTACGAAATGAAACATTTCAAGGTCTTCTTAATGCTAAAAAAAAGGACAAAACAAGCATATTTTCAAGGATTTTTAAGAACAAAAAACAACACTATAAGATATCTTCAATTTATTGTATAAAAAAGACACTATATAACCTGTATGTCAATATCTTAGAATAAAAAATTTATGTTATCTTTATAAAAAATAAAAATCAATTTCAAAGTATCCGCCCAAATCAATTCTCGAAAATATTTCAGTACTCAATCACAGTGCACTTTCACCTGATCACTTAAGACTGTCGAGCAACGGTTGTTTTTCATGCAAACAAACAATTGTATTTCTTTGTTAAGTTTTTATCAAATATGTTTTTTTGCTTCTTTCTTTTTTTAATAATTGTCAAAAGAAAAAAAGTAAGAAATTTTTATTATAATCAGTACACAGACAAATGTCTCAGCCATGCGCTATACAAGCATGTAAACGAGTTTCACGGACATTATGTTATGGATGTAATCAAAATTTTTGTCGTGAACATATGCGTGAACATGATTTAACTTTGAATTCACAATTAAATCCATTATCAGATGAAATCAATGCACTTGGTGATCGATTAAAATCAATAAATCTTGAAAATGCTATTGGTGATTCACGTCAAAAATTAGATAAATGGCGTATAGATTGTCATAAAACAATAGATTATTATTTTGATGAAAAATGTCG